TGCTGTTAGGCTGAGTTAATCACTTCTTTCTGTCTGCTTTCCTATTTTTAAAATTCAAATACAGCCATCCACCTAAGGCTTATTCATGGCCTGTATGAAAAAAGTTACAGTGTCCTCAGATATCACACCTGCCCATTACAACTCCTGTTCAGTGCCGGTATCACAAATGGGGTACCTGCGTGACGGTTGGGGGCTACGGTTCATGGGCAGTGGTCAGCACATCCCACGGATAAGAATTAATAAGAGATTGCTGTGGTGTAGTAAGAGAACATCCCAAATGCCACATATTGTGCCTACCAGGCAGCACTCTGTAATTACAGAAATCAGGCGCCTCTGTAGCCAGAGACAAAGCCAGCTGGAGTCAGCGTGGTAGGAGGTTGCTCCTGAGCACCGCTGAGCACAAACTGCGTATCCTGCACCTGCACTTTCCTAGAAGCCTTTTACTCTTTGCAAATCTCCTTAAGTTGGAGAACTGTCCACGTGCTCACTGGCACAAGGAGCAGAGGTGTCAAATGTACTCTCTGGATGGTTTTACTGCTCTCCATCACCACCACCAGACGGCGAATGCTCAAGCGAATGGGCTTTAAGAGAGAGGACTGTGTTCAAAGCATCTCTGGCATTTGGCAGGGAGGTTTCCATTTCCTATCAACACAGCACAACAGAAAACTAACACTAGTACCCACGCTATCAGGAAGAACAAGACAAAAGCTCAACTTTTTTACTACCACAAGAAAAGGCAAGCCTACAGTTACACAAAATAGCCTGAGAACTGCACAAAATCTTCTTTTCTGTCTTTAACAGTAGCCAAGGAGATGGGACAGAAATTTAAATCAACCCCTTGCCTTAAGCCCCAACGTTTAGCAATCCTCAGGTAGATTTCCAGCGATCATACCATGATTTTAGGTTCTAACACATCAGCCAGCCCGAATTCTTAACCCGTCCCACAACTTCCCCGCTCCAAGCAGCCGCACGCAAAACACAAATTGGCAGAATGAGGAGGAGCAGCTTCCCGCAGTCCCGGCTTCACCTCCCTCGGCCCACAGCCATGCTCAGACCAGCTGCTCTCCACTAAGGCAAGGGGCTGTACCAGAACAGGCTGGCGGTCGCCTGGGAGCCCCGGACACCTTCCCCAGAGCACGCAAGCAAAGTCTGAAGCTGCGTTTGTCTGCAAGTTAATAATTAAGTGTTTTTCCTCCTGCAGAATTCCTGCCCATCCAGCACCATGGCAACAGCTTTATCCCCCTCCTTGGCAGCAGCGTTGCTGCAGTAACAGTGTCCATGACTCATCTGGAGGAGAAGAGAGCCAAGCAAGGCCACCGAAGAGGAGTAAACCCAGGGCAGAATCCCCACCAGGCTCCTGCTCATTCACATTTGCACCCTTGCACAATTTTTTTTTCAACTCTTTTTGCACTGAAAATATTTTAAACCTTTTTTTTTTTTTTTTTAATCAACATGCCAGTATCTAACTGGATGACATCTGGGAAGATCAGCTGCCAGCGTACTGCAATCAAGTGTTTTTTCCTCCTCTGGCACTGCCCAGTCTCCTGCTAGTAGAAAGAGAGAGGTGTATATTCCTCTCAGTCTGTATTAAACTCGCTTGCTGCAAATCCTGTTCAAAAAAACCCCAAAAATCAATCAAACTAGCCATGTGCTATTTTTTTCCCCATACATACCAGAAGCCTGGGGCTCCACTGGCAGGTCTTATCGGGAATGAGCTGCTTGGAATTGGCAGATACTTCTGCTTAGCTGAGCACTGTCAAATTTGCTAATCTCATCCCATACATACTTATTTTTAAATTACTGTAGGGCCCAGTTGCCCACACTTCCCATGACGCACTTAAATGTATCATCTGCTTTCATTACCCTAATTCACCGTCACCACAGTTTGGGGAATGGAGGCAGCATCCATGTCTATTTTAGCGAGACATACAGCAGCTCAAACCTCCATCGAGTGAAGTGGGTCATTGCAGGAAAGGTACGTTTGGCCTCCCAGGACAGAATGTTTTTATTTCTTCCACTTCCCCTGAAGCAGGTTATGTTGTATCCCTGTCAATAACCAAATAATCATGTTATCTCCCTAAATGAGCCCTCAGTACTCACCTGATGCAGGGCTGCCAGAGAGCACGCTCTGAACAAGGGGTGAAGGGATGGACACATCAGCACCGTCTTTGGAAACCCAAAAGACTGGCTTTTGTTCTGCCGTACCCACGCTAAGCAGTGCAAAAACAGGTCACAAGAGAGGAGCATTTCCTATTCCCTCCATGGAGTTGCCATGTCCCAGACCTCAACACCCAAACTCCTCCTGGAAAGAGTTCACCAACTGAGTTAAACTTGTTATCAAAGCAGAGAGAAAACTCTTGCAACATGCCCAAGCCCGGAATTAGCAGCTACTTCTCACTCACACATATATGCTGCTGCCTCTGCAGCTTCTTTCCCATCATCTCTGTATCATGCCCAAAGATCTGCAACTCCCCACTACTGGAGACATTTTCTATCTTAAGACGTCCCACGGTTTCAAAGACTCTGGAAGCAAAACTAGCAGCACTGTAGTGGTCTCAGGAAGCAGCAGAGGTGATGGACTTCCTGAGCCAGGCAGAGTGGATTTTTTAATGAATTCTCATATTCCCTTTGTATGAAAAAGTGATTTAAAAAAAAACAAAAACACAAAAACAAAAAAAAAAAAAAAACCAAAAACACAAAAACAAAAAAAAAAAACCCAGCACTCTGTAGCAAGACATTAATTAAGAGGTCTCTAGCTTGTTATCAGAAACTGTGGATGCTTGTTCCCTGTTTACAGTTCCGAGGTGGTACCTCCACTTTCCAATCCAGAGAAGAGCTGGTTCCCACCCAGGAGACCTTCCTCCCCTCCCCAAAACAACCAAGATTTCAAAAGAAACTGGTAAAACAGGCTGGACAATGACAGCAGGCACTGCCTATTCTCTTGCGAACAATGGAACGCTGTGAACCCGGTGCACATGGTGCACATTTCCAGCCACCTATTTTTGCAAGCTGGTGTTACAAAGGAGCACAAAAGGTGAGCGATAATAGAATGGTAGATAATACAAAAGGAAGCTAATGAAGGCACTTTCTCCTCCTGCCCTCTCCCTGTTATTTCAGTTATCCAATGGATGAGATTGGGTGTTTGATCCTCAACAGAGAAAGCCAAAAGTCGATCCTATGTTTTCAGATTTCCTTTGCAACCACCCTATCAGGCACATTTTACCAACAGGAGTTAATGGGCAACAGGGTTAGCACTCCTTGTGCTTCTTTCAAGATCCCTTCCCCTTCTCTACAACCAGGAGAAAGCACGTGTCCCTGTCACAGACATCACAAGATATTTCTGCGGTGCTCATCAGAGCATCTAAGCTCAGATCAGGCAGCTCCTATTTTAAGACTTTAATAGCCCACAGAGGAAAGCAGAGTGTAGCTGGGGTATGAAAGAACTCAAAATCCAGTAACAAAAATAGGTGTAAATCATGAGGATGCTGTACAAGAAACTGATGCAGCAGCAGTGTCTCTTCTCAACACAGGCAATAACAAGAATTTGAGGAATGAGAAGGCTTCTACAGCTATTAGCCAACGAGGTCAGAAGCTATTTTGACGACAACTCCCAAGACGTAAACCAGGTATAAAGCAAAGACAACCACAGATGAATCGCTAGGAGCTGGAGATTAGGAGATTATCAGATTTGAAGAGTCGCCGGAAGAAGCGAGTGAAAATAGCACGAACTCCGTGAAGATGCAGAGCAGTGACGCAGGGACAGTGCAAGACCTGGAGGGGAAGGCAGGACAGGGTTCAAGCAGTGTGGATATACCTGCTTGGACAACCAGAGTTCAGTTACAGAAAAAAAACTGAACTGTTTCCCCTGTCCTCTGCCTCTGCAGTTCAAATCCTGTAAAGAGAGGGGCAGAGAAGCAAGCTAAACCAGCCAGATCCACTGCATTTCCAAAGCCATGGCATTTGGGTAAGAGCAGACAGCGGGGAAAAGGGGAGGGACACCCCTGCAGCCCCCCAGCACAGTCATTAGCCTGCTGTGAATGCCCCAGAGGAAAAATCTCGCACCAGGAGGATCCCACGGGAGTTCTTCTGCAGCAGCACATTTTCTGACCACGCTGTGGATGAAGCAGTGGGGTGCGTCCCAGGCGG